CACTTCTTTGTTCCTGTTGTTCCTTTGTTTTCCTATTATAGTTGATGTGTTTCCCTCGGGTTTAGTTTGTAACCCGGATTTGTTTTCCCTCAATCGATTTACGACTTTTGAACACCGGTAAACTTCTGTTGCCTTTATTTACCATATCTATCTCTATCTTTTCCATCGACGTTAGTGACACTCTTAAAAATGTCATATGCATTTTGTTACTGGTATTTGACTGAACTCTTCAGAAAAAGCACAAACGAATCAAATCAAAAAATATATAAAAAGTAACGACAGCCTTCCGCATGTAATATTATAACGTAAGGATAAGAATGATTAATGAAAAACTGAAAGCAAACATACAAAAATCTAACAGAAATGCCGCTTTATACGTTTCAATTTTCAAGCATATAAAAATGGGATGTGTTGATATAATGAGTTATTCAACGTGGCTGTTTGGAACCAAGTATCAGTAGAAATTTGTTTTATTCTTGTATGTTTTATAAACTTTTAAGCTGCTGTTTGGAATTTATCTTTCTTGTGCACAGGGCAATTTATTTCAAAATCTTCCTTGCGCTTTAGTTTGAAAAGCTGAAGCAGGAATTAGTAGGATGTTTGAATATGAATTCCGAAGAAAATGTATGATTTCGACCGTATCTGATGAAGTTCGTTTACACAAACACATGTCTTACTAACTGAAATTAATATTGTATGTTTTTCTAATTTCTTTCTATATTAAAACTGAAACTCAATCTTAATCGTATTATTATTAACTATACTAACAGGAATCAATAATCTTATATCCAGGTAAACCTAGAATTGAGAATACCACAGTAGGAAGAATGTCTGCTTGATATTTTTACCTATCACAAATATGGATCCTGAACATTATTCTCTTTCGTCTGCTTATATTTCAAATGTTAATGAATATGTTTGAATTCAGCGGAAGAGGGATGTATGTGTTATCCCCTAAAAAGTACACATAACTTTCGCAGTTCATAGCAACCAAAAGGTGAATATATACTCACATAAACGGTTTGATGAAACAGAAATATTTAAGTTATATCATAGTCACCAAAAGTTTAAATGTCAACTCACAAGATCAACCCCCTTTTGTGTTGCTCAGTCTTTAGTTTTCTGTGTTGTGTTGTGTATAGTGATGTTTGTCTTTTGGTCGTTTTTCGGTTTTTGCCATGGAATTGCCAGTTTATTTTTTGACATATAAGTTTGAACGTCCCATTGGTATCTTACGCTTCTCTTATTCATATTACTGACTCGGTACAGGCATTTTCCGAAGAAAATGTGTGATTTCGAACGTATCTGATAAAGGCTGTTTGCATAAACACGTGTCTTGCTAACTAACATTGATATCGTATGTTTTTTTTTTATTTCCTTCTGTATTAAAACTGAAACTCAATCTTAATCGTATAATAATAACTATATATACTTACAGGAATCAATAATCTTATATCCAGGTAAACCTAAAATTGAGCATACCACAGTAGTTAGAATTTCTGCTTGATATTTTTACCTATCATAAGTATAGATCCTGATCATTATTCTCTTTCGTATGCTTATATTTCAAATGTTATTGAATATGTTTTAATTCCGCGGAAGGGGGATGTATGTGTTATCACCTAAACAGTGTGCTGAGACCTACACGTAGCTTTCGCAGTTCATAGCAACCAAAAGTTGAATAAATACTCACATAAACGGTTTGATGAAACCGAAATATCTAAGTTCATAGTAACCAAAAGTTTGAAAGTCAATTCACAAAATCAACCCCCTTTTGTGTTGCTCAATCTTTAGTTTTCTGTGTTGTGTTTTGTATAATTGTATAACGATGTTTGTCTTTTGGTCGTTTTTCTCTTTTTGCGACGGCGTTGCCAGTTTGTTTTCGACATATGAGGTTGAAGATCTCTTTGGTATTTTCCGCTTCTCTTTCAGATAGGAGCTGCGACTGCACCAAAATTATTGTATCAATGCCGACAAAATAAATGGTTAACAAACAATGTTAAGGTGGTACGGAAGTATATATAAAAAACGATAGAATTTGTTCATACTTTGCCAAAACGTAGTATATATTGTGATATGTTCAAAAATATAATAAAAATTATAGGTCACCGAGCATTTTCTCAAGCTACAGGTTGTGACAAAATGACACATTTTGTATTGATTATACAGAAAAAAACATCATTATGTGATTAGAAGCTAAACTAAATGATAGAATTGTAAAAAAAAAATACGAGAAGATAGCTTTTGGAAAATGCTTTGAGAATATCAAAAGAAAAGACAGGGTCACCGTACGTTTTTTCCGGCTAAAATATCAAATTGCAAAATTTCATGTAGATTCCTTCAGAAAATGCACTATTTCAGAGTAACCTCCCCTTAAGATGCCAATTCAAAAACATTAAAAATCAAGCAAAAATAATCTACGCTTGTAAAAATATTAATATTTATAAGTTAAAATCTTATAAATTCATTCTTTTAAATGAAAAATCACATTAGTTATCTGTATTCCTCATCAAATTTTGCTAATTTGATTGAAAATCTGGACCTTAGGTTCTCTGTTATTTACAATCCAAGATGGCGAAAGATACCCATACTACCTTAAAAAAGATTTACTATAATTTTCTATTAGTTTTAATGTTTAAGCATTGACCATTACTTATCTAGTGAATTGATGTCTATCGTTAATAACGTTCTTATCATTATTTCAATGAGGTCGATATCACTTGTTGGACTTGGTACATGAAGGCATCACTAGCGTAGTACATTGTAGTACTTTGTTATGACAAGAAAAAAGAAACCTGATAGACATTTTCCATTGAAATTAAAAAGAAATTATTTGAGAAAGTAAATATCCTTTCCCTAATGCTAACGTTTTAATCCTCTTTTCGAACAACATTCAACTTTCGTCCCGTAGTATACATAATACGGTCTCGGTGTCCCCGTAAATGACGCCTGGATCTATCCTAGTGTCCATGAGTAGTTACTATCTAGTTGTACAGCACGATATCTGAATTTGGTTATAGGTTGGTCGAAAAGTTTTTGTAAGTTTTTCCATTTTTTGGGGGTTCATTTAAATTTTCAGATATCCCCTACACAAACATCTGGGATATCAATTTCACGTATTTAGCTTATTGAAATCGGTACCGCTTAATGTTATTTATCCGCATTCATTTACCTTTAACAATAGCAAAATAATTGCGAATTGAGAAAATACTCTTTAAATACAAATAGCTCTTAATATATATGATGCTATTGTTTTCAAGTTGCATGAACTTTAAATTCGCCGTTCCAGAATCTAATGAATTCTGGGTAATATTTTCACAAGCGTACACCAAAACGTTGTGATTAGGTATTAACGTCCTAAACAATGGAAATTGAACCAATGACGTGACGTTATTTTCATTCGTGGGTACGAACAATGAAATACCAACAATCCTTTAGAACCTGAAACGGTGAATTGGAAGTTTTGCATTGTATTACTGTTATATTCAAATATTTCTTAAATACAGTAATCACGTTGAGGTGTACTTTTGTGATGTTTGCGATTAAATGCTGTCCTATTTGTAATAAGGTTCTCCGGAGATAATAACTAGCGGAAAAAATATATTTATTTATAAAAAATTATCACATAAAGGAGAGTCGAGTATCGAAAAAGAACAAGTTTAATTTCGCTGCATGTTAATGAGCCTGTCTCGTCATTTATTACTCTTGTTTACATCTTTTAAATTTTGACATGGCATATAACTCTGAGAGCCTGTTGAATTTACCATGCTTAATTTGCCTTTTTGGTGCACACTTTTCTACTACGGAGGACCGTATGTTTATCTCTACAGGTTTTTTTCCCCGGATTTATGATGTTATTGGGGTTTGTGTACTTGACGTATATTATACATCTCATTTTATTCATATTTGATATTGGCTCTAGAATAGAATGTATAAAAAATTTTTATACAGCTGCCTAATAATCTTCGTTATTTCAGACATTCTTTTACTTAAAATAAATTTTCTTTTAACTGTATTATCAATCTATAAATTTTAAACTCATGCAACTATGTTAAACAAGAAAACAAGGTCTAGTCAATTATGCCTATCCTAATTGTAATGATTACACATTATTTAGGGATCATCCTAGACTTTTCCATCTTAAAGATCCTGATTAATACTGATCTTTACATTGCTAACAAATCAACGTATTATTCTCTTCCCATTAACTGTACATAGGCTATTAAGATCAATCCAAAGAGCTCCGTTTAAGATTATTCGGAAACAGCACGAACTTCTTAATCATACTGTTGTCATAATCATCTAATGTCAAATTGGTTTAAACACCATATTCAACAGTTCTAGCAAACATGCTGGAAATTCTTAATTGCATCCTATATTTGATTAACTTTTAAGCTTCTTAATTTTTTACTTCATAAACAAATTGTAGTAATCCAAACTCCACGAAGTAGTGTCATGAACTAGTAAAACAATGATTTTATGAGAAAACCGTGGAAAACCATTAACAAATCTACATCAAGAGGAGATTTAAGCTGAAAAAGAAAACCTCTTAAACTGATCTTATAGGATTTTCGTGCTAAGAAGAATGGAGAAAATTTGTAAAATATTATACTCAAGGGTTATATAAGAGAGCTGGATGAGAGGTGTGGGAAGTAGTGGCAATATCAAACAAAGGTTTGAAATATACTTCGGTACAAAGAAAAAGATTACGTAAACCCTCGCATATTATATACCTTGTCTTTGTCAGTCCAAGTTTTGAATATGATCAACTATTCTAAAAAAGGTGACCTCGATAGATATCAAACGGAGAAATGCCTTAGGAAGTAGATACATACGATATCGGTTGATTGCATTAAAAAGGGTAAGATTATAACAAGAATGAAATTATAAACCACAGTCGAAGAAAGAGAGACAACGCCTTGGTCAAAAGAACACAATAGCCCTCAAAATGCTTATACGCTTCTCTTATTTCTTACATGTCTTTTTTTTCTATATTTAAGGTGTTACAGAAGCGCGCAGTATATCAGACGAAGAATATTATCCTTTGTCTCTGGAAAAAAGAAACTGTAAGTTGATATTCAATTGGTTTTTTATCTCTGTTGTTGCAGTGTTGTCGATTTTGCATGTTCTTTTGTATGAATTTTGTTGATTGATACATTGTTATAGTAATGCGATAAGTTTTATCACTATTGTTTGCTTCAAAAATTTTGTTTTTTGATAGAACATTTTCATACTGTAAATCAAACCTTCGGTGTGAGCCAAGGCTCCGTGTTGAAGACCGTACTTTGACCTATAATGGTTTACTTTTATAAATTTTGACTTGGATGGAGAGTTGTCTCATTGGCACTTATACCACATCTTCTTATATCTACTTACACAGTTGTGACGTCATTTGGTTTTTATATAAGATCGTTTTATCTATCTATCATAAGTTTTACAACAATACAGTCGTAGTTGTCATGACGACTAGTTCAGTCGGAGCGGGTAAAAATCTAACTTTATATAATGTTTCCTACTTATACACAAATGACACTAATAAAACTCTCTTTAGGGGTACACAAAAAGTAAAATAATAAAAATACCGAACTCCGTGGAAAATTCTAAACGGAAAGTCCCTAAGCAAATTGCAAAATCAAAAGCTCAAACACATCAAACGAATGGATAACAACTGTCACATTCCTGATTTGGTACAGACATTTTCTAATGTAGAAAATGGTGGATTAAACCTGGTTTTATAGCTAGCTAAACCTCTCACAGTCAGTCAGTCGCAACATTACGATACTAGTTTGATTGTATGAATGACGTCGCCTGCATCATTAAAAAATTGACTCGGGTCGATACGAAAACGTGACGAGTATCACTGCCTATCCACTATTTCAAAAATAAAAACTGTAAGGCAGTAGGATTAAAGGGAGCATTTACAATTGCCGACAAGTTAGAAATTATCCTCATATAACTACACTTGCAATTTTACTATACCACTAAATACTTAGATATAAGAAGATGTGTGGTATGAGTGCCAATTAGACAACTCTCCATACAAGTCACAATTTGTAAAAGTAAACCATTATAGGTCAAAGTACGGCCTTCAACACGGAGCCTTGTCTCTCACCGAACAGCAAGCTATAAAGGGCCCCAAAAGTGACAAGTGTAAAACAATTCAAACAGGAAAACCAACGGTCTAATCTATATAAAAAACGAGAAACCAGAAACACTTATGAACCACATCAACAAACGACAACCACTGAACATCAGGTTCCTGACTTAGGACAGGTGCAAAAAATGCAGCGGGTTTAAACGTTTCAATAGGCGCCAACCTTCACCCTACCTGAAACAATAGTGTAACATCACAACATAGAAAGACACACAATAAAATATCAATTGAAATGGCTTATCTCAATCAAAAGACATATTAACAAAAACATGTGAACAAACACTGAACGATTGATCTAAGACACAATGTAAATACAAAATTAATAAAACAAGGCAGTTAGATGTTTAACAATATCAGAAAGACAACCATAACCTTGGAACAAATGCCGCCAAATAAAATAACGTACACAGGTAAATAAAAATAATTTTATTGTAAGGAATACACGGAGTACGGAAATAATTTTTACAAAATAAATAATGTTGTTTTTCCTAGTAAGAGAACAAAAGTGAAAATTTTATCGTCATAATAAACACTTATTAAAGGTGGTATATATAAAAAATAGTAAGACTAGATATAACACTGAATAAGTAAACATTGAATAACAAAAATGTATTACAAATTGTATCAACAGGTCAAATTAACACGAAAGTACGATTTGAGAGTACTCGCAGTTACTGAAAGCTAGTTAAAAGCCAAAAACAATTAATAATAAAAAATCATGCATCAGAGACTAAAATCAACTCAAACACATCCCAGGGATTTAGTGTTTTAACTTCATTGACAGTCAAAGAAGACATGACTTGTGCAATGCCATAATAAAAGTATCGACAGGCAGTAGGATAGTTAAGAGTTTACCTGTTAATACTTGTGAATCTAAAACAGGTAAGGCATTTTTGGCATTGCACGGGAAAATTACGCTATTATTGATGCAATCAGATTAGTCCATGCAGTAATAACATAAGTATATATACGAAATGTTTCCAATTAACACTGTTATAGCTAAAATAATTTTTTTGTGAAAGCGCAAATTAAATGGTTTTGTATATTTGTCAACAATTTAATTAACACATTGTGTTAAAATGTAACTTACATATATTGTGTACATGTTAATGATTTTATTAACACCTGAAATTCAAATGACATTTAACGTTAATTGATGTGAGTGCAACTCAGTCCTGAGGCTATTACTGCGCAATTTATTACGCTATTTTGGTAGACGTTGGAATACCATATATAGATATGCATTTGATTTGTGTTAATTACTGTATGACACTTTTCAAGTTTGATTTACTATCAGTCCTAAGTCATGATAATTTTAAATTATATACATTATTTTTGTTATCGATGTTTCAAGGTTTTTTATTATCTTAATGTTAAAAAAAATACCATATATAATTACATTGGAAAGATATAAGAAAAAAAGAGAATTTTCCATATTTTCATCAATGCGTTTGTTTATAGCTTTCCTATATGATATATTCCAGAATTTTTAAAAATAGTTCCTGTTTCCATGTACATTTTTATTCTATTCTATCGTAGTGTCTATGTTAAAAAACCCATCATAACATTTGTTATCGGGTGGTGTCTAATTACTTATACAATAGCTTATAAAAAAAATTTAACAGGTGAATGTACCAAAGTGATAATTCACTAATACGCGAATATATATTCCCTTATTACATTGACTTTAAATGCTTATTAAGTAAAAAAATGTCAGGAACTACGTCTTGTTCTATGTTTTCTCACTTCGTTTTAATTCAACGTCAATAACAACTTCTTGACAAAGCTTATTATTGCATGATGTCAGAGGAATGTAATTACAGAACATATTTAACATGTGACATAATCGGTTTTGATTTGACTAGAAAATTGCGTTTTTTCATTTCAATCAATGTAAAGTGCAATAACGCGAGAGAACGTTAAAGAAAAAACTTGCAACAAAAACAGGAGATGATACTCTGACATCAGCCGGCCAAGCATTTAAGAAAAAAAAAGACGGAATTTCGGTTAATTAGATGTCATTGGACTATCCGTTTCTGGGGGTAGCATTCTTCCAGAGGCCAAATGTAAGGCTTTATCAGTTTTGTGCTCTTCAATCTTTATATTTACTGCTTTCCAAACTTTTTTTATATATATATCATCGACACCAGAGTAGAATACATATTGTTTATGTCTTTTTCAACACGATTCATAAAATTTGAGACGTCGATGATACCAGTTATCAGTGTTGTTTCTCTTTCGTTGAAAAGCCAACGAATTAAAATCCTGAAAGGCAAAAGCAAAAAACAAAAAAGCAGAAAACAATTTAATGTCACTTATATTGACATGAAAATAAGGAGGTATGGTATGATTGCCAATGATGTAACCGTTCAACAGAGACCAAAAGATAAGGATGTATGAAAAAGAAAAAAGACCTTGTTTAAGTTCTCGAGAAACAATTAAGGTAACATTACGTTGATTTCACTAGGTAACTTAAAATCGAACTAAATAGCAGTCTACGTTTACGTTTACGCTGTCGACAAACTCGCTCATTTTAGAGTTCACACGATTTCCTATACTTTTTTATTTCTAAGATCTTCATTTTTTTTTATAAGTTTTTGATTTCCAAATATTTTGGCTACTAGCATCACTGAAGAACCATATATTGTCGAAATGCTCATCCGGCTTCTTTTGTCACCCTTTTAATAAATGTATAAGATTTGAATATCGCTAAACTACTGTCTACTTTAATCTGATATATTTTTTTTTATCTCTGTTCTAACCACCACTGGACTAAAAAAATATCAATATATATGTTGATGACAACGGTATGTGTTCGTGTTGGTAAAGCGTATCCATTGTGCGTACTTAATGAATACTAATCTAGGAAAGCCTTTATCACTTATCAAAGTTGGCGTGTTTTATAGTGATTTCTACCAAACATAAAGTATCCGTATTCTCGACATTGAACATCCAAAGACTTGCAGTTTTAGATAGACATACAAGACAATATCAAATATCTGAATCGAGTCCAAACAAGTATAATCATATCAAAATATATCCTGTGATGTCTTTTGAGATTATAGATAAACTTACAAAAATTGTTTACAAAATGACATCTTTTCCAAAGAAAATCTACATTTAAAGTTTCAAAGATCATCATTTTTATTTCCGTACATTTGACATACAAGGCTTATTTGACCATTAAAAAAAGAAATGAAACATATAGTAACTGAAATGGAAAAAAAAAAGATTTCAATAACAACGGATAAAAAGGGACAAAGCATGATGAAAAGAGACGGTGTAATTATATATTTCTTATACTGAGTTTCGGTTTAAGGATGTTCGCTACTCTGTTTCAAAATAACAAGCTTTTTAAAAGACTATTATAAATTGAAAGTATATGAATAAAGGAACTTAAAAAGCAGAAAAAAATGGAGGGTCCGTGTGCTTGTTTTCAAGATATAAGCCATTGAAAATTTGGCGGGAAGTAATTCTCTCTAGATTTTTCATAAAATGAGCATTGACACCTTTTTTCTCTCAAAAACTATGAAAAAATAACATGTATGAGATTTTCAAATATGGTTTTTTAAACTATATGTAATAAAAATATGAAAAGAAAAGTAGGGATTTGCGGGCAAATTTTTTTAATGGCACTACATGGATAAAACCAGAGGATTCCGAATATCTGGTAAAAATTAAAAAACAAGAGGAGCGAACATCCTTAAATGCTCTATAAATTATTCACAAAATGCTGAAGTATTCGACTTATTAGCTTCAATCTTGTAGATTTGACAAAGGTTGGCTGAAAATCTACGCAGAGAATGTATATCCAAAAAGTTTTGAAAGATAAGAGTGTTGTTTATGATATAAATTGTTAACTATTTTACCATGATTTCTGTTTAACATTCTCTGCATAGGGCATCATTTACTTTTGCAATTACTACACATTACAATCTGTCCAGCATTTAGAAAAGTATTTATAAAGTACAACAATTTAAAAAAGGTTTATGTGATAATTGTCATTTAGAGCTATATTCATTGTTGAGTTGACTATCAACAGTTATGATTGGTTTCTAACCATAACCAGACGAAATTAGTCAGCACAATTTCTCTGAAGAGAAAGTCTGGCTTTCATAGAAATCAGGTTGTCCGTATAAATGAAACTTAATTCAATGAACGTATGAAGTTCATTTTAAATGAATGCACGAAACAAACCTCTCTGATTACTAAATTGTCATCTATAACCTCTGCGGAACTATACAGGTAAAAAAACCGCATTAGTATTGAAGGAAGCGTTTTAATTCAATCTTCGAAAGATTACTTAGTTTTTACTGGATAAACGAACACAAGATATTTATATGAGATGGTTTAAGATACTTGTCTTATATATTACATCTTTTACTATCAAAATATATAAATAACACATAATTTAATGGTTGAAAGATCAGATTGTAAATAAGTGAAAAAAATTGACAACCAAACCTGATGGATTTATGTTTTGCCAGTTTTTTATTGGTTACTACACGAGGTTAACATCAACAAAAAGTCTTCCGCTAAGCCGAGTATTGGAGTAGAATTTTTCCAGTAAAAAAACCGCTGATAAGGTTTAGAACTTTTATTAGTTATACAAAGCTGAAAAACAGCTTATAAAAACATGTTATCAACGAACATATACGAGACAACGGCAAATACAATGTAATAAAAGTACATGACATATACAATTCTATGACTAGACTATATCCGAATGACACGTGATGATTGCATACTATTCGTTCGTTCACCTCAGATTTCCTCCCTCTAAGTTAGTATTTAAGTATTTCACAGGAATAACATCGATAAACTGCCGTGGCATCTTAATCAAAACACCCAATTATCCCGAATTCACATTTTGAAATATTATATCTAGATCTTTTGTTGTAAAATGGATATACGCATTTTTTAATATTTATAAAAATCTACTTGATATTCTTCTGTGTATCTTTTAACATATATTGACCTTTAGGAATATAGAAATATGACGCCGATTATTTTATACGGAAAAACATTGGTCATCGTCACGTTTCTTATTCTTGTCCAACACTGAAACTTAGAAAAATATTCTCTATTCACTATTTCACGTTATCGCGAGAGTGAAATTTAAGTTAGACTTTCATTAAACAGCATATTTGAAGAATACAAAATCAGATGGAATGAATAGGGCAATTGATAATTTTCCTCTGATAATCTATGAGATACTAAGTGTGTTTTGACCACGAGTAGTTTTTGAGAAAGCAATTTATTGTGGTCGCGTAATATATTTCCATTTCAAAGAAATGACTAGTATTTGTAAAATATCAAAACACAGTTGTATTACTATTCTGAAAATGAAACCCCACCATTTAGACATTGAATCTATAATTTAAATTCTACAGTTAGTCTGGTGAACTATTTGTTTACTGTCGTTATTAGTTATTTGTTTATGTTTTAAGTAATATTGACTGTATTGATAAAGAAAAAAAGATCGAGGTAATTTCTTAATCAATGATTATTAAAAGACTAGATCATCTTTGAAGCGGAAGTTAACTTATTATGTGAGCATCATTGCTTTTTGCAGTAATAGCCCTTGAATTAAGTCTGCTTCGAACAAATTTATACACAAGCTAATTCTTTAAGTGAGTTCAATATACTAGCAATAATTGTTTTCTACAACCCTTCTCCGTTTAAAATGAAGTGGTTTATAAGAAGAATATATCCCTCCTACAAGGTTTATGATAAGAAATGTATCTCTCCTACAAGATTCATATAACGATTTCTCCCACCTACAGGATAGCAATAAGAATTTTTTCTAATACAATTAAAGTACATACATTCTATTGATTTTATTTTTTGACAGATGTTTCAGCACAACAGCATGACCCAATCTAATACAATCATACACGATACAATTATTTAGTCAAAATATTAGCAAAGTCGACTGCAGTTTTTCGGAATTTTCTTTATTGTTATATAAAAAAAAGTACGCAAATAGATAAAAAAAAAAAAAAAACAAACAAAACAAACAAAAAAACAAAACAAAACAAAACAAAACAAAACAAAACAAAAGGGAAAATCTAAACTGTATTACATTTGTACTAAATTCAACAAGCATAACGCTTGTATTGTACAACACAATAACCTTTATTTTTTTTAAAGTAACATAGTGGTTTTTTTTACAGCATGGTGGAGTAAAAAATCTTTAGAAAACGTCCCCAACTACCAAAATGGTAAGTATGTAGTAAAAGTTTCAAAAATTAAAGTCAATTAACAAACTATCAAATGAAAAATGTGGCAACTGATCCATATAAGTTGTTATGTTTAAGACCATTGGTAAATTTAGTGGATACGCGAGTTTAACCTTTCCAAAAATGAAGTACTTCCCAGTATTATAAATTATGTCAGGTTTTGCGAGAACAGTTTTCTTTTTTAATGGCAAACGATTATTACTATTTTTTTCTTAAATTTTCGTGTATTTTTTTATTTTGGTTTCAATTACATTATTATAAGTCATGTTAAAAAGTCTAAGTGATTGTGAAAGTAAAATATAACACAAATACTAAAAACTAAAAACAAATGTCGATTTTACCATGACGGCAATAATATTCGGATCTCCTTGATTAGACTGACACACGAAACTGTTAGTTATGACATATTTGTACTCTCTCAAGGCAATCAATTTAATTCTGAGAGGTGGAAGTAAATTGATTCCTCGACGTCCTCGTCGCCTAAAGTACAAAGCTCTGATCACTTGATAAGTCTTTTTATAGTAATATATTCACCAGTCAGGTCTTACAATACAGATACTGCTATTTAATTCAATTCGGATTTTGATCATCACTATAAAATTTCTTCTCCCATTCCTAACGTTTGCCCAATTTCATAACTCATTCAAACCAATCGAAGCTTAGCCACATCATAAGAAGACTAATCATGAACTTACCATTGTAAAGTGAAGATTTCAAATTGGCAAGAATATCGTATGCAACTATTAACTTCTCATCGAGATACGAAGAAAACATGATGGTTGTAAATAGCACAACCTCAAGTTGAAAGCTGCTTGTCATTGGACTTTTCAAATATGGAATTGGGTTTGAATGCCAGACAAAAACATTTTTATGATTAGTATTTGTTATTTGAATAGCTATTCAGTATCACAAAAGGGCCAATATAATCGGTAATTTACTTTGAGCCTATACATATCAATGGTTGTCCAAAGGACTGGCAGAACCGTTTAAATCATACTTTGAGACTATATCTGTCTCGTGAAAAGTAAAATAACAAAAATACCGAACTCCAAAGGAAATTCAAAACGGAAAGTCCTTTAAAAAATGGCAAAATCAAAGCTCAAACACATCATACGAATGGAAAGCTGTCATATTCCTGACTTGGAACAGGCATTTCCTTATGTAGAAAATGGTGGATTAAACCTGGTTTTATAGCTAGCTAAACCTCTCACTTGTATGACAGTCGCATAGAATTCCATTATATTGACAACAATGTGTGATACATAACATTATTTGATTACCCTGCAAAAACTTTCGAAATACAGCTCCATTGAATAGTATTGCGCGTCGGCGTATTAAATTATAATCCTGGTACCTTTGATAACTATATATATTGCCCATTTTTATTACTATTGTTTTAGTTATAACATTCAATTGTATTGTTTCACGTTCATAGTATCTAACCCAGTGCCAGTGTGAATGAAATAAATCAATTTCTATACCTTAATGTTATCTGAATCTGTTCATCATTATGTTTCTGCAATGCTCCTAAAACAAATTAAATACAAACTGGTGCTATGTTTCGTTTTTTCTAATTTATTCTAACCTTAATCAAGCTCAGAAAACTGGTGTGGGAGGTTAAATTTCCAAATGATGTCTACAAAAAAGGTTAGGTAATATGCAGGACCATTTCAAGAAGTTAATGAAAAGAGTACGGCAAATAAATAGAAGACATATTCTCATAAAAACATCAGTTTGAATGGCATATGTTTTGATATAAACAATGATAACTTTGTCCAATTTTAACGATTTTATTCCTTCATAACCTTTGATCATTCACATTAAGTACTTTTTGTCAGTAATGTGTTATTTATTGTAACTGCAAGTTATAGGTCGTAAAGCACTGTGTGTTTTATCTCTTTTATTTCAATAAAGAACAAATATTTATTTGTATTTTAATACTATTTCAATTATTTTACTGATACTGTACAAAATAATTTTGTACTAATTGTTCATAACACGCAAATGGTGAATCATTAGTGGAATTCATCAATCTGTGAAGTATAATAAAGCCAACAGAACTACCGTGCTTGGTGTCTGTTGTCATTTTGTCTGTTTGTGTTTACTGCCGATCTGATAACTCAACACTAAATTTGTTCACTATATATATAGATTCTACCACTGCATCGAGTGTGATACGATATTTATCCACTCGAGACAGTTAAATTTTCAAATTTAAAACGCGAGGCTCGACTCGCGTTTTAAATATTTAAAATTTAACTGTCGAGAGTGAATAAATATCGTATTACACGAGATTTGGTGGTGGAATCTGTTTCTCTAATGATTTTCAAACAATACGCTGGCAAATTTATTCCTTCTTTTCGAATGATCTGCAAAAAGATGTGTTCTTTCTATGTGACGTCATCAGACATGGTCGCCTTTTTTCATGCCGTCACAATAGAAAATTCAGAGGAAAGCAAGAAAATTCGACGTCATAATCGGATTTTAACCAATGAAGAACTGAGATCAAACGAACCATTGTTGATTAATTTTTTTTTCATACAATGGGTGCAGAAAGGGATAAATTGACGAAGAATTAGAGAAACTGATTTATATTTTAGTCTAGGCAAACAAGATGTATGTACTAGTATTAGTTATATATTTATGTATTGCTCTGTCCTAAGTGTTCTTGCGTTTATTTGTACTGTATTCAGAAACTGCGAGTACTCTTCTATCGATACTTGGTGTCTCATGTCTTTTTTAAATCTTATTAGTTGGTTTTTACTTTTCATACCGATCTGATGACTCACGTGTTTCCATGCTGATTTTAGTAGTGTGTTTTTATGTTTTGCTATCACAAAATCGTCAAAGGTTAGTGAGAGGGTTTAAAGCTCATTAACACGTTTACCCCCTCCTCATTCAGTATGTGCTTATTCCAAATCAGGAGCCTGTATTTAAATGGTTTGTCATTGGTTGCTGTATGTGTCATATTTGTTTTTCAATGAATGTTTATGCAGGGATATGCTCCTTACACAAGTAAACTTATTCAAAGGAGTAATGAGGAAGACGGCACTATATAACTTCACGGACACCATTATAAATTGTTTGACAGATATGACATGTCTATGTTGCAACTCATTAGCTACATGTTTTAGCAGTTTTAAATTTTTGGATACCAGAATAGTTGTCTAATCCATAAAAATTGTGTCCTACTTCTCATTTATGAAATTTTGACTGAGTGTGGATTCGTATGGCGGGTGATGATTTTAAAGCAGGAGACGCTTACCCTGTTAATGCACATAGTCTCTACTTTTGGACTTCATGTAATTCCATCAGTTTTTGTTATTACCTTGATTTGTATTTCCTTAATCGATTGATGAGATTTGAACATCGTTAAACAAATGTTATCCAAATTTATCATACACTTATGGTTGGTTTTCTCGTTTGAATTGATTTACATTTAGTCATGCCAGGGCCTTTTGTTTTTAGAATACCTGACGGTGTGGGTTTGGGTATTGTTGAAGGCCGTACGGCGACCCATATATGCTAAACGCAACATCTGTTTTGTCTCTTGTGGATAGTGTCTCATTGACAATCATATCACATCTACTTATTTTGATAAATTTCATTTATGTGTTTAGATATTTTTAAAGCTTTAGTATTTTAAATCCCTTTTAATGATACACAGAGGAATTCCATACAGGAAGGCTTAGGGTAAAAACACCAGTGATATGTACCGTCTGCATTTTATCAAACTATTGATAATCCGGATTTAGAAGCTGATTACGTATTTGTAGCTTTTACTTCCAACAATGAGATACGTTAAAAGAATAAAAGTTTAATCATTCCTTCCGAGTTGATTGATTTCATAAGTACAAAAAAATATAACAATATACTAAAATCAGTAAACTTGTACCTAAAGAATTTTTCAAATATCTAAGTTTTTGGTTTAAGTTTGATGTTGATCATCGATTTTCATTAGACAGCTCGCAATGCTTAATTTTTGATATTCTGTATTGTTGAGATTAGTTTGTTTTATTGAAACAATGCCATACTTGAGTTCTTTGTTTATTTTTTGTAAACCAGTATCTTAGCTATAGTTTCTGTGCTATATAGCTATAGTTTTCTGTGCTATACTAGTCTTTATTTTTATTTGAACAATGCTATACTTGAGTTGTTAGAGCGGTGATGGTTTTGTCGTTTTATGGGAACAATGTCTTAGTTCTCTTATTTATAATGCCGATGATTTTTGGAGCTGGGTAACAATAATTGACTTTTAGTTTTTACAGTGGCTATAGGATCTTGACTTAAAACCAGAGTTTATGTATCAACATCATATTTTTTTAAAGAAAGAATCTCAGAAAATTTCAGAAAAAAAATGCATTATTTTTTCGATTTTCAGTTATAGTTCAACAAGCCAAAATTGTATGAAAAATGTTATTAAAATCTGTGATGTAGTCCATTTACTGTTCCCTGACAATAATTGGGACAATGTGTAAGATATAGTTTAAGTGTGAGGCTATATTTAAAATGGCAATTTTTACTACAAAATCATTATTTGTATTAGTAGATTGCATATTTTGTATGTTTAAAGCAATGCTAATGTAAGTGAAGTTATCATTTTTCTTGGAGTTCGGTATTTTTTTTTTATTTTACTGTTTATCCAATAAGTTCCACGTTTTGGCAATTAAACCATACAAAATAATGAATCAGATCGTTCATATAGGTGTTAAATAAAGACAACAGTAGTATACCGCTGTTAAATATAAAATCAGCTCTGACAATAATAAATGAAATCAATTTAGATTTGTTTTCTTAACAAAGTGGTTGATAAAAATCATTTATATAGAAAATATCTACATTATGTAAATAAAATCATCATAGATACCAGGCTTAAGAATTTGTCCGACAGACGCGCGTTTTGCCTACAAAAGACTCATCAGTGACGCTCGAAAAGTGAAAAAGGCCAAATAAAGTACGAAGTTGAAGGGCATTGAGGATCCAAAATTCCGAAAGGTTTTGTCTAAAACATCTTAGGTAATCTATTCAAAATAGAGGCGGAAGATACCAAAGGTATATACAAATCATTAGTCGAAAACGAACCGACAATGCCTCAACAAAAATAAAAAAACGACGAAGAGACAAACAACAGTTAAAGAATCACAACACAGAAGTGTCTGTTGGAGACATTTCATCAATGGGGAAAACGCCTAGCATGATACACTTATTACTTAGTTTTATGTATGTTGAATACGACGGGTGTCTAAAATATCTTTGGCTACTTAATTGACCTCTTATAGAGATGATTAATAAATGTGTTCATTATGCGCAATATATATCATATTTTCCTTTATTGCAGATATTTCGTTGCAAGTAAATAACAGAGGATGTGAAGAGGTTATTAATGTATTCAGTAAGTTCTTGTTTTAAAGGAATTCAAAGAAATGAAACTATATTGTACGATAACTTATGTAAATATCACCAGTTCATATATAATACAGAATGACAAATGTTAACAATAAAAACAAAGTTTTATTACAAATTACAAATAAATCAAAATTCTCTTATTTTTATGTCCATTATTAGAGACCTCATACATGGTCTCTTTTCAAGGACTTCAACAACAGGGTTATGCTTCTCAAACAAAAGCCCATCCATCATAGTTATTAAGAAATCGACTTAAATCAACATTAAATAAGTTTTACGGTCATCAACACGAATTAGTTAACCGACGCGTCTGTGTCTCAACTCACTAACGACATGTTTTTGAAGTCCTCTATCTTAAGATACTAGAAAAGTTGACTGATTTTTTTTCAATTACCGATTGTTTCATACGCTCGTTTGCGACATTTAAACGGAGTGCGGATTCGCTTGGAGGATAATGCAAGCATAACAGGAGACTCTTACACTGCACCTGATGTAGGCCCTTTTTGAGTACTTGTGATTCCCTAAATATACACTTTAAAACATGTTATCAGTTTGAAATACAAGTTTGACTAAATATCTCCGAGGATTTACCTAAGATTCACCTAAAGTCACATTTTGAAAACACATTGAATGATCATAATAAAACGTACTAGATTCAAGTCAACAGATACAGTTAAGTCTCCCTCATATCTTGACTTGCATCCAGAAATTGGCAATGAGGATCGATTAAGAACAAACTTTTACGACAAAAGAAATGATTTCAGCTTCCCAATTGTGAATTTTCCATTTCTATTAGCAATAGTCCAACAGCGTCTGTATATGGAGTATATATCTCCCAGTTGATGCGATATTGAAGGGCCTCCGTTTCAAATCATGATTTTCTTGAAAGAGGTATAATGTTGTTTGTTTTGTGGTCTTTTTCTCTTTTGGCCATGGCTTTGTCAGTTTATTTTCGACTTATAAGTTTGAATATTCCTTTGGTATCTTTTGTTTCTCTTTTTCAAAAGATACGACAGTCTAAAGGACTGTAAATACATGGGAACAAACATCCTAAAAGTGGTTAAAAAAATCAAACCATCAAGTTCAAGTATGCCAAGTGAGCTCCTACTTAGTTTTTGCGAAAGTATTTGAGCTGATACCTTTTGAAAGAATAAGTGGAATAATTCAAGGTCATTGGTAAAATATTGACTATTCTGCAATAGCGTAACAAAAAGCGACATTTTAGCAAAACCCATATACAGGTCAAATCTACATCTGACATATCTTATAAGAAAAGACACCGGAATGTAAATTCAAGTAAAATAAATTTCTTTAAACTACATGCGATTATTTATGCCCAAGCTGGTCAATACATAGATTGTATACCAATGAGTTTTGAAATAACATTAACGAAGCACCTTTATGTAAAGCTTATATTGACTATACTCCATGTTTCATTTTTCAGAATGTTATTCCCAATACTGTGTGCCTGACTTTGTAGCTTGTTCCAGGGAGTCAGACGATATCTATGACATGTGTAAAGTGGAGCATGATTTATGTGCATCTAAATGTTTTGCATCTGGTTCCGACCAAGTAAAGCGATGAACATTTATTCAATTTCTATTTTGACTGTAATGTAAAAAGGAAATAAATATTGTATATTTTTAAAACGCTTACACATTTTAGTTATACCATTTACTCTTAAAGAAACTGAAGGAAAAATGCACTGCACACTGGAGACATATCTTAAATATTTATGCATTCGGTTTTTCTTTTTTATTTTGGTGGCAATGTTTTATTACTTAAAATGATATGCAGCTTTGGAAAAGTATTAATTGAAAATATATTTTATGATCTGTTTTTTTTTAAATTATTCATTATCAGACGCACGATGCCATCACAAAACAAAACAAAATCCAATTTGATTTGTTTATAGACTTATACAAACCTCTCGAGTTATGCTCGTCAGGTGCGCTGGAACTAAAAGGAGCAAAATAGATTGAATTTTGTGAGTATCAAAAAAATACCAACAACAAAAATGAACAGCTAAAGCCTTTAGGTCCAAATTATTTTTAGTTTCAGTACAATAACATACAATATAACTGAAAAATGTATTTGTTTTTGGCTTATCTGATATATGTTTATATATAAATCACCTAACCATTTTAAATTTAGCCTGAAAAATAAGCTTTCGATTCATGTTGAAAACTAAGGACTGTTTTATAGGCTCAGAGATTTGAAAAGAAGGTAAACATAGATTATAAATAAAGGAGGATGCCAGTATAACTTCTTCAAAGGTCATATATAATTATTACATGGTTGATGCCGAGTGAAATATACTCCGATTCATCTTCGCTAGCCAAGGATTACGATTCAGTCCCCTCCTCTCCACCCTTGGCGGATTAAGATAGAATTTAGGATCCACGATGTAATGATTTCAATTTGTCACAGTTGTAACTGGCTGCATCCAACCAAAAAGAGCCTTTACGATGATCACGTGTAAATATAAAAAATGTAAACAATTGCCACGTGCAGATTGTGTAACAAGTCTTTACCCCCAAAACATAAGACGATATTTAGTGACAATCTTAAAGTTCTTAATCAACTAATTGAAGTTTCTGGGTATGTTTCTCGCGCAAATGTTGGAATGCCAATGTTTATTTTCGGTTCCTTGCTTCACGAAATTTGTAAACACTAGACACAGCCGTGTTTACACCTCCCAACTAAAGAGTTTTCAAGTGCTACCATTGGTCAAGAATGATGAAGTCGGAATGGCCGTGACTTTTGTCTACCGGTAGATGGCGCAGCATTGTAATCACAAATGTTGGCTTGATCTGCTAAGGGTGGAGAGGAGGGGACTGGATCGCAATCCTTGGCTAGCGACGATTACTCCGATTTTGACCGTCTTAAACATTGTATTATTTTTTTCGTTGTAAAGATGACAGAAGTTTAACCAATGTATATGTTGTAAGGCATCACTATTTTGAATAAATGTATATTCGAAGCTAGCGGATTCCATCAGCTTGACATTCTTTTAATTGATAATGCTTTAATTGAAACACTGTGTAATTATGTAGTAGTAACACGATGAAAATGAGAATACTTTGAACTGACGATCTATATTATAAATGGGATAGTTGATTGATTGATTAATTGTTGTTTGCTTAACGTCATGTGACAAATGTTTCATGCATATTAAAAAAGAGAACATATAAACAATACATACAATAAGTAGGTCCTGTTATAGATGTCGACCGGGATATATGAGATGCAAGTACTCATCAATATCTAGTATAACGACTGGAGATTTCCATCGTCCTATTGCATGTATATCTCGGTAAAATTGAGATTAAGGCTAGTAACGAAAATTTTAGAACAAAACTAGGGTAAACTCGTGTGTCACATAAACGTAGATAGTTGACAGAAGAAGAAAAAATTTTTCATTGAGGTAGTTTTTTTTTAATTATGTTAACAAAGAAGTAAGCGTCCATAAAAGGGACACATGTTAACGTTTTATACATTGTGACTTGGATGGAGAGTTGTCTCATTGGTACTCATACCACATCTTCTTATTTATATTCACTAAGACAAAATATAGGAATAATCCTGTTTTATTGCTAATTGTTTTAAGTATCCATCAACAAAATAATGGTGATTCCAATAGAACATGTAGACGATAATGATTTAAATTCCCAACCTTTATTTGTATATCTGTGACTATAGTCTTTATTGGTTTGTTCTGTAAATTACAATAATATGCTTTCAAACTGAAGCAAGAATAACATTATGCGATATTTCAGTTCCATTGACCTTTTATCATGTTAACGATAAGAAAGTAAAGTACAATAGACATAAGATAATCGCATTCAGCACAATTTATAGACTTTAATTATTAGGTAAAAGTAAATTAATTGTCGTTTTTGTTTAAGTTTCGGAATTTTAAGCATGACTTTTTCTACTGACAAACTTAGTATCTAACTCGTTAGTGTTGACATCATGATCTTATCAACGTCGTTATTTATACATCAAACTTATTTCATTAATTTTACAAACGGTTTCAAAATCCATTACGTGTCAACGTATTTGATTTGAATGTTTAAAATTCAGTAATTGTCATCCTATGCAGAAAAACCGCTATGATATCTACAGTAATCGGTTTAAAAAAAGTGATAATTTAGTTTTGGATTCCAGGTCAGGATAGAAGGTATAAATTACGTAATGTACTTCATTCATGCACTTAAGTTTCCACGGATCAGAACACAATCATATATACTTGCTGCAAGTTAATTATTTGTCATATTTAAAAAAAACGTTTATGCCAGTCTGTGTTTTCGATTCGTTTTTACCATGAATACACCTTATTTTCGTTAAAATTTTACCCCTGGCGTAGCGCATCTAAGCGACACCATTTCCCATAAGTTTGCCGTCTTTGTGCACAAACACATTGTTACATCCTCGATGTGTGGCTGTCGTTGTATATCGAGTATTATTGTTTTCCATGAATCTATTCATATTACATTTTCAGCACCTTACATTTGAAATAAGATGTAGAAGATAGAAAGGGAAAACAAGATCCGTAAGTCGAAAAGAAACAATCAATAAATGAAATCGAGGAAAATACAAACAACCGTCCACTAAACACTTCATAGAACACTTAAGATTGAGTAACTCGAATACCGTTAATAACCGGGGTAAAAATAAAGTGGTCAGAAGGCGTCTTGTGATTCCAGCCGTGTAACATATGCAAAAAAGTGTTGATTCGTAATGGGACCGCGCATAACACAATAGTGTATTTGTTAATGTCCCATAGAAACAACGCAGATATTAAAAGATACGAAAAACAACACTGAAAACTAAGGCAAAAATAACACGAACCACTTCAAAACAAAATAGGGATCAACACAGGTTAGTAGTTCATACACCACAAGTGTCATCCATCGTGTTGTTCATGGCAAGTAACACTGTGTTCATAAGTTACAGTCAGTGATGTTTCAAATGACTAAAAGAGGTTGGGATTGAAGCAGCTACAAGTGGAACACTTCCATGATCACATATTTTCCATATCGGCAAGAATGTGAATTACTGATGCTTAACGTTAGTAGAAAAAAAAATGGTTTCACATATCGTGCACATGAATGACAATTGAAAGCCATTGTAGAATTTGTAAACTATGCAAAACAAAATTAACGAATACCAGATTTTGACTTAAAACAGCATTTGACCGTGAGGGTCGATTGAAACTAAAACTTACCAGAGAAGATATGACTTACTTCATTTATATCATTACCAAATTACCTAGTATAATATAGATCGTCAGTTCAAAGTAATTATCCATATGGCATCTCTAAACAGAGTTATGTACTTCTCACATTTAATGAGAAATTTAAGAACTTGTTTTCCTATCAAAATTTGATAATGGTTTGTTGTTACCAGAAAACTAAGATACCAAGAATACCAAGAATTTATATTCTACAGTTTAAAATATCGCTTTAGAAGTTTAATCGGCGCCTTTAAAGCATAATCAACCGTAATGGAATATATGTGTCACAGATGGTCACGGATATCTTTCATTTGTCAGAAGCACGATATCACGGCCACCACATGACTTGATTTTCCTATTGGTGGAGGTTTGCTGCTTACAATATAATTGCTTAACCAATGGTTCTTAAAGTTTTATGATATGATCGACCGGTGCGTAATATCTTTGTCACAGGTGGCCAATATCGCTAAATTGTCACAGTCAAGATCTCGTATTTTTACTTGTTTAACACCGAGTACAACTTATTATCAAACTCAACTAATGGCGGGATTCTTAGTTGTTGTATGCAATACGACCTAGGTTACTACTACTGTAGGAACTGATTGATCTTCCGGAACATACAAATTCATCCTTAGGTTATGGCAATTCTCGTTGATCAATCTTTAGTTTTGGTTTTTGTGTAATTTTTTGTAGATTTGTGTTGGTTTATACACTTTTTCCCTTTAGTTATGGAAATTGAAAATAGGCGTTGTGGTGTAATTTCTTAACACGAAAGCCCTACACCCATCTATCAAACCAAACAACAAAGAAACACCGCTTTTTATAATAATTCGTCGTTGTTTCTTGATGACTTTTCTTTTTCAAATTATGATTTATAATTACCTCTCTGATATCTTCATACTTTTTATTTCTCCATAACAGAGACTTTCGTGATATCCTTAAGGATAATAATTTCCCTTCAAATCACTTATCGTTACATTGTAGAGGTAACGTTCGTCGATGAAGTAAACATAAATAAAAAAGGCATTTTATTCAGCTTTGTTTATGATAAGGATTAAAGTAGTCATTAAACTTTCTATTGATAATGCTAAAGACATCCTTTGCTTGCACTTCCATCTAAAAGAACTGTCAACTTAATGACAAACAATTGGGTTTACTTAAATAAGACGACAAGACCACATCAGCAATCACATATGTATGTTTTCTACATGTTACATTCTAAACTACACTATTGTATGTTTAAAGATACAAATATTTCCTCATTTATTTACTTTTTATAAGTATACTAGATTTTGATTTGTTGGTAGCGATTGCATTTTCATATGTCTCTTACATCAGTGAATATCGTTCATATTTCACCACCGCCGGAGTATTCTATAAAAGGTTTCTCTTTAACTCGAGCACAATGGGCTCTTGGGTTATCTGATGCTATTGTCGTTGTTAGACAAGTGATATCATTCAAATAGCTATAATACCTTACAAATTATTCTATATAGGCAGTTTCACATAAAAATATTAATTTAACCTTACTTATTTCCCATTATATGTGCATACTATTTGCTCACGTGCACGAAATTCTCAAAGCTTGATAATATATCGT